TGTTATGGTGCATGTTTGTTACTTAGTTTGTTCTCATGCTTGTGTTGTGCTCGCCCAGGGAGACGATGCTGCAAGCGTTGAGGTTTGTGATCCAGGGCGCCGGCTCGAAGGTGGACCCAGAGATCCGCAAAAGCATCACCACCACGCTGCTCGGCATGCTGGGACACGATGAGGTATGACGGTAGGAGCAGAGGGGAGTGTTTGTGTGAATTCAGGTCACGGAATAGCTGCTGAATATCTCACATTCCTGCTCTTCAATCTCTGCAAAAATACATAACAAAGGTCCATTCATTTTCTAAAGTTGTGCCGTTTTCAGCCAGAAGTTGTCATAAATTGACTTTTTATCTAGTTTTAAGCCACATTTTTAACATAGAATGACGTATTTTACTCATGGGTCACCTGGATTGTAAATAATCAAAGAAACATGCTAAGCTAACGTTAGCGACAGCCAAACTGCTTTTTAATGTGAAACTGCTTTATCATTACTCTAACTCGTTTTAATCAGCAGGCCTTTGTTTTGAAGAGGTGGACACCTATGAGGACGATTCAGCTTCTGTGTTAAACCTCCTGAACATCTGGATCTTAACATTTCAGAAGTACAGGCAGCGCTAACACGAGGAAGAATTTGGCTCAAAAACACTTCTTAGACGTCCGTTTACTAACGAGAAGATTTAAAAAAACACTCATTCTTAACGTGAAACAGCTTCTACTGGTTTGATCAGCTAGTGTGTTTGTGTTAGACGAGTAGGAGACCTCTGAGGAGTTTTGGGCGGACATATTGTACACGGAAATAAATACCCATGAATTAAAGAAGTGTGATCAGTCGAGAAATGATTTTGATCTGTGGTTCAGTTTCCTCTCTGAACTCGGTAGAAAAACGGAAGTCAGGCAGAGAGGATGTGGTTTGAGCCTCTCTCAGTTTGAGAATAAATGACACTCAAACCTGTGTGTGTGTGTGTGTGTGTGTGTGTGTGTGTGTGTGTGTGTGTGTGTGTGTGTGTGTGTGTGTGTGTGTGTGTGTGTGTGTGTGTGTGTGTGTGTGTGTAGGATGCAACCCGTATGGCTTCAGCAGGCTGCGTCGGGGAGCTGTGTGCCTTCCTGTCGGAGGACGAGCTGAAGAATGTGTTACAGCAACACATCTTAGGTTGGTTTTCATAATGTCTTAATAATTACAATTATATATATTTATCAACATTTGTACTGTAATTTTTGTTTATATGAATATGTTTGTTATATTTTATTTTTATTTATTTTTACATTTTACTTTAACTTCTTATAGATATATTTGATTTTTGTATTCTTTTTTTTATGACACATTTTTTAACTGGTTATAAAAAATAAAAAAAAATAAAAAAAATTATTGGGACATTTTATATAAATATCTTTATTTTCACATTCTTAATTGAAGTTCTTATTCTTATACAAATATTCATTCACCAAACCCAATTCCCCTGAAAGTAAAACATGTGATTCTTAACAATGTGCCTCTGATTACTATTTATCACAACAGCCTGACTTACTGTTCAGGCTCACATGAAAACAGTGACTTAGTAAATGTGTGTTTTCCTCACTTTGACCCCAAACAGTGTTTTCCTCTCCTGATGTTCACACTCCTCATGTCTCTCAGAATCGTTTCCTCTAACAGCTGTTTGTCCTCCTGCAGCGGATGTTTCCGGCGTGGACTGGATGGTTCGTCACGGCCGCAGTCTGGCCATGTCCATCGCAGTGAAGTGCGCTCCTGAGAGGCTGTGCGGGGGGGAATACTGCGACACTGTGACCGAGGCCATCTTAACCAACGCCACTGCAGACAGGGTGAGGACAATCAGCTCAGTTACCTCTCTCCATCCACATCTGTCACCCCCCACATATTATTTATTCCTAAAACTTGTAAAATGAATATTCACAACTTCCCAAAATAAGGCGACATTTTTATGTTTATTTATCGTCTTATTTAATTGTCGCTGCTTGTGTCTCCTTTTTATCCCCCCCTACAGCCCCCTTCCTCTAAATATATTGATATTATTTATTCCTAAAATGCTTAAATACTTAAAATGAAAGGAAGGATCACACTAAATAAACTAATAATTATTAACTGACTAAATACTACTATAGAATATATGTATATGACTCATTCCTAAAATCCAAAATAAAATTCTTACAACTTTCCCAAAAATATGTTGACAGTTAAAATGTAAGAAAGGATAAAACTAAAATCAAATAAATATTATTACTACTACTAAAAACAATAATAACAACAAATAATATTATTACATGGCTTAGTTGAATACTCGATTCTGATTGGTCAACACAAGGACACGTTGACCGTTGCTATGGACGCTCACATCTGCAGAAAGAAGTCCGGTCGGTTTAACTGTTTGTTTGCTTGTCTTAAGTTTTCAGTTGTCTCCCATCTGAGAGCAACATGGAGGATTTTAATATTCATTTTAATATATTTGGAGAGCACAGTAATTTGGATGAATGGTTAGTGGCTGATGAGTCCCCAGCGGAGAAAAGAAAAAGACAAGAGGGACAAGAAAACTTACGCAACGGTCCAGACATAGACATCAAACGGCGACACATATTCAGTGTGCAGTTCCTTTGGCATTAGGGCAGGGATATCTAGATACTTCCCAAGGTTCGACATAATGAATTGTGCTACTTTTAAAGCAAGCAACGATGTTTTCAAATCTGTAATCAAAAAGCGGCTATTTTTCTTAGCGGATGCATGTCATTTTAAATCAATAGGCGCTTTCACACCAAGCACTTAGTTCCCCCATGGAACTAAAGAGCAGATCGCGTGCATGCTCGTGAACTGTCAACGGGGGGGGGCGCACGCTCGTGAACTGTTAGCGCCGTGTTATGCATGCCCACTGCACTTCGCGGGAGCGCGCACAGCGTAAAGCCAAAACTCAGACATTTCAATGATCTGTTCGGCACAGTTAGGTTTGGAAACTGTCATTTCCTTTTTGGCGGGCATGCATAACACGGCATAACACCGGAGCCTCGCTGCGGGGAAACTTTGGCGCTGTTCTGAGTTTGTTCTAATCTGTCAAAACGACGGACTGCGTCATTGTTAAAAAAAATCCTTCATAGACGAAAAATATTCGGTTAACGCGACCTCTGGTGTGAACGTACATTTTCTGAACTATATCGGAACTATTTTTTTTTTTAAATCAATAAAAACATTTTCTAAATCTATTAAAGCATTTCAATTAATTTTGGGAGTCATGTTGTTACTTTGTTGAGAATGTGTAATAAGCGGGATAATGTGCAGCGACTTGGTCATTATGGGGAAAATGAATCATCTGCACCAGTATTCATACACAGATATTATTTCAGGTCACTAAAACTCTTTATGGACATAATTCAAGGTTTTATACATTTATTGTGACTACTTCCTGTCATAAAGGATGAGAGTTAATAACTTTTTTTCGACAGACAGAAGTGAAACTAGTCGGGCTAATAACAGAGGCACGAATGACTCACAGTTTCCTTATTTTCTTCTCAGAATCAGAATGTATTCATTACAAAGTAGGTTTTAATGTATTTAAATGTGTCCCTTATTACTGTTATTAGAATAGAATGGGAGATGAACCCCTCTTTAATGGTCTCACATGCAGAGCACACAGCGAAATGTGTTCTCTGCTTTTAACCCATCCTAGTACCAGGAGTCTAGTACCAGGAGCAGTGGGCAGCTATTGTACAGCGCCCGGGGAGAAATGGGAGTGAGGGGGGAAGGGGGGTGTCCGGTGCCTTGCTCAAGGGCACCACGGCAGGGCAGGAGGTGAACTGGGACCTCTCCAAGTAGCAGTCCACACTCCATATTTAGGTCTGTTCGGGGACTTGAACCGGCGACCCTACAGCTCACAGTCCAAGCCCCTACTGACTGAGCCACTGCCGTTATACGTTTATAACACCTGACTAACTGTACAGACTGAAATAATATTAATGAATTTAATTAGACATTATTATAAAAATAAGAATCATTTATCATTTGGGGAATTGGATTTTGTGTATAT